TGATGAACTCCAGCCTGTGTTACAGAAAAGAGTAATACAGAAATTAATGTTGAGTCACCAGGAATGCCAGTTTTCTTTCTAAATGCAGCTAAAACTTCGCCACGTACAGGCATTCATCATATTAATGGATATGAAGAATGGGTTGCAATTGATTGAAATGTTGCTCTTAAACGGTAAACATTGGATTTTCTCAGTCACTTAATCAGCCTGTAGCTCAGCTGATTCATTTACAGGTAGTAGCTCTGACCCTGTCTCTGTGATGGTGGACCTTTGAGGTGAATGAGTCATCAGCTCTGAGCTTTCTTGGGGCAGCAGGTTAGGGTTATCGTAACAGAAATTCATTCTCTTTAATAGTGTATTTCTGACTGGGCACAGTGGCTCACACCTGTAACCCTAGCACTTTAGGAAGTCAAGGCGGAAGGTTGGCTTGAGCCTAGGAGTTAGAAAACAGCTTGGGAAATAGAGGGAGACCTTATCTCTACCCCTGCCCTGCAAAAAAAATAAAAATAAAAAAAATAACTGGGCATGATGCTGCACGCCTGGTGGTCCCGGTATTCAGGAGGCTGAGGTGGGAGGATTACTTGAGCCCAGAAGGTTGAGGCTGCAGTGAGCTGTGCCACTGCATTCCAGCTTGGGCAACACAGTGAGACCCTGTCTCAAAAAAAAAAAAAAAAGTGTATTTCAGTCAACTGCAACCCATTCTTAATATCCGTTAAGATTATGAATACCCATATTTGGTGAAGTTTTAACTGCATTTAGAAAGAAAACTGGCGTTCCTGGTGTCTCAGCGTTTCATTTTTGTATCACTCTTTTCTATAATACAGGCTGGAGTTCTTGTTGGGAAGTGGCCCTAGTGGATTATTAATGGGAAACGGAAGCCTGCTTTCCCTACCTTGGTGTCTCATTTATTGGCTGGAATGCTATAAATGACTTGGGGGCTTTATATGATTTGAGACACCCAATCAGGGGCCCAAGTCAGGGCCCTTTGTATTTGGAGATCTTAATTCCTCTCCCAGTAGTGACTTGTGCTTGGTTATAAAGTCACTTCTGACCTCGTTTGGAGCTGTTCCGCCCGCCCTCCCTCCCTCCGTAAGGGGACCGGTGGTTTTTCCCCAGGGCAAAAAGAGTCATAACCTGCCTCTGTGGATGCCACATCTGTTTTTGTTTTCCCCTGGTATTTTTTAAGTAAGAAGAAATGCGTGTAGGTTAAAGGGCCGATGGGGAGGAGGTTAGAGATAAACACTGTACAATGTGAAACTCTTCCATATGGGGAATGTGAGGATGTTTGAAGACGGGACCTAAGACAGGCATCATCCAAACCCAGCCCCTGGTCAATTTCAGTGCCTTAAGGATATATGTGCATGACCGTTTGGTGTGCAAATGAGACTTTATTTAACAATTAAAAGAGGCAGTTTCAGCACCAATGATTATTTCCTCTCCTTCCTGGAACATCTTAGTAGGAAAGGGGAAAAGTGTTAATTTAAGAGAGAAGTAAACATGTGGGTGGAGGCCTTGAACCTGTGGCCTGTGAGGGTGGTCAGGCTATCAGAGTTGTCCTCCAATTGATTCATTGTCAGATGGTCCCAGATCTAAAAGTGAGGCCTTTGTGAACATCTGACCATTGGTGGTTCTCTTTTTGCCTGGCTTGGGAGTTGTTTCAACTGGAATACAAGGTCCCGTAGCTCTATGTTATCCCATGTTTGAAATATGAGTGGAAGTATGTGACTTTTGTAGACATGAAATCAGATTGCTTTACAAAATCCAGAAGTTCATGAAGGATGCCCTTAGTATGGCTTTTCATTCAAACCCATGGTTACTGAAAGTTGCCAAGCACAGTAATTACTTTGTCAAAGGTCTTGTTATTGCACCTAATGTTAAATAACGATTTGGTCCAGGTGCTGAGGAATGTGGACAGAAATGAAGACACATGTTCATGGCTAGAACGTAAATTATAGAATTGGAAAAAAAAAAAAAGATTCTCGATTTAGTCTCTCCAATAGAGAACCTTTCTGTAAATCTTTTCTTTATAATTTTAGAGTTAAATTCTTTATAATTAAAAGCACTTGGCAAATAATGGTTCATTTAAACCGGAGTTCTGATTCATTACTCTAATTATTGTTACCATGCAGTGCCCTTTGGCCTGGAAGTGAAACTCGTGTGCTCTTGACACCAGAGGTTAACAGAGCAGGAAGCCGGAGCACCGTGTCCCCGCATGACCAGAATAATTTAGTAATTGTCTAATTACCTGAGGAGTCTAATGCTGCTACTAAAAATAGTATTAAAAAATTGAATGAAAGTCATTTTCTTGTTTCTTGTAACCCATCTGTTCTCTATTTTGGGCAATCGGGTGTCATGGGTGTAAAGTGTGGCTCATTTGAAAGGATCAGATCACTTCTCTCCTGTTTGGTAAATATGTTTTTAATGGAATGTAGAGTCCGGTAACTCCATACACATTTCCAGCCTCCACGATTCAGTTAGCTGTGGATGCGGTAAGAATGTTGTAGGTGACCCTTTGTCCAAATCTGTGATTTAAAATCTGAAACTGATGTTGGTTGATTTCATAGTTGTTTCTTTTTGAAAATGAAAAAAAAAAAATTCATGTCACTTGAGGACTCCTCATCACCACCTTGGAATATTAAGTTTTTAATCTGTTTAATTGTTCAGCAAATATCTGTTGCATACCAGACACTGCCCTGGGTACTAAGAATACAGTGATGAGTAACCCATCAGTTGAGCCCTCTGTTTCTGTGGTGTAATGAGAGGGACCCATCCCGTCAATAGGACAATTTAGACAATGAAGAGAGTAACACACAGGGTGTTGCCCAAACGTGACTTCACTGGGAAGGGAAGTGGAGGGGCTCAGGAGAGAGCCTCTTTGAGGAGGTGAAGTTAGATTGAGACCTGAATGATGAGACTGAGCAAGCAGGCGCTTAAGGGAGCTGGGGGATGGGGTCTCAGGCAGGGCGAACAGCAAGTGCAGCGGTCCTCAGGCAAGAAGCAGCTTGGTGGTGCCCAGAGAACCGAAAGGCCAGCATGGCTGGAGTGGAGTGAACAAGGAGGAAAATGGCATGAGGGACAGCTGGAGATGCAGGCAGGTGCTGCTCAGATGGGAAGGTGTTTGGCTTGTGCTGAACCATGAGCCATAGATTGTTAACAAGTGCTTTTTCTCCACAGTGATCTTAATTTTCATTATATTCTAAATCAGTAGAACCCTTTATTCAAAGGAAGCCTGGGCAGGGGCCAGGCGTGGTGGCTCACACCTGTAATCCCAGCACTTTGGGAGGCCGAGGCGGGTGGATCACTTGAGATCAGGAGTTCAAGACCAGCCTGAACAATGTGGTGAAACCCTGTCTCTACTGAAAATATAAAAATTAGCCGGCCCTGGTGGTACACGCCTGTAATCCCAGCTACTTGGGAGGCTGAAGCAGGAGAATCACTCGAACCTAGGAGGTGGAGGTTGCAGTAAGCTGAGATCGCACCACTGCACTCCAGCCTGGGCAGAGTGAGACTCATGTCTCAAAAAAAAAAAGGGGAAAGCCTCGGTGGCACCTGATGTGTGACACAGGAATGGAGCTGCAGGCCGCGTCTCCCATCCTGCTGCAGTTGGTGGTGCTGAGCGGGTTTCTTGGTATTCCTGGGGCTTGGTGTAGAGCATGGATTGAAAACAACCTCTAGTTCACTCCTCTCATTGACAGGAAACAGGCTTAGAGAACAGACATCACTTGCTGCAGGTCTCCCAGCTGCTTCCCACCCATCCAAGAATAAGGCTCAGCTTTGGGAACCGTCAGTGCTCTCTTTACCATGTTGCTCAAAACCATTTTTCCAAGACTTTCCCCATTTCTGGCCCTTCAGAGGCTGAGCCGTGTTGACAGGTATGTAGGGAGGGATGGAGGAGACCAGGGTGTACCACGGAGCTGCCTCTCAGGCAAGAGCTGGGGTCTAAAGTCAGCCTGCAAGGCAAAACTTGAGCACAGTTACCACTACTCCTGAATGTCTAGCTTCGGTGGAGGGCCAGGTACCATTTGGCAGTGAGTCCCATCCAGCCAGGGTTTCCTCCGGCTGTTGCTGACACACCTCACTGCACTGCCCTGGGTGTTGATGGTTGTTACTTTCTTAGGGTACTTGATGAGGTAGTTGCCTTCTGTTGTAAACTAAGAAGATTGTGAGCTTAAACTGGTTCTAAGCTGAGGATGATTTTGGCCTCCATTGGACATTTGGTGACATCTCTTGTCACAACTAAGGGAATGCTGCTGGCATCCACTGGATCTGGTGGCTGGAGGACAGGGGTGCTGGCGAACACCCTATGATGCCCCCCAGCAAAGGAGTGCCCAAGTGGGGAAGCCCTGCTCCGTAATACCAGGATCCCTTTCAGTGTGGTGGGGTCTTCGTTCTGTCAAAAGCCCCTGGCACCACCCCAGGGAAGACAGGTTCACTCAGTCTGCAGGTAGAATCATCCTCGTTCATTACATTGTAATTGTTTCCTCTGTTTGTTTATAATTTATTTATTTTTGAGATGGCGTTTCGATCTTGTTGTCCAAGCTGGAGTGCAGTGGTACGATCTCAGTTCACCGCAACCTCCGCCTCCTGGATTCAAGTGATTCTCTTGCCTCAGCCTCCCAAGTAGCTGGGATTATAGGCATGCGCGACCACAACCGGCTTATTTTGTATTTTTTAGTAGAGACGGCATTTCACCATGTTGGTCAGGCTGGTCTTGAACTCTCGACTTTAGCTGCCCGCCTCAGCCTCCCAAAGTGCTGGGATTACAGGCATAAGCCACCATGCTTGGCCTCCTCTGTTTATTATTTATTTATTTGCCAAGCGTAAATGACAAACCCTGAAAACTACATGTCATTTATTTGCAACATCATTGTAGATACACCTCAGAGTTCCATGCGTGGGAAATGTAGCAAGAAAAGCAATAGCTGCATGGCTGCTCTTCCACATTCTCCAAATCATTCCTCTCTCTGGTCATCCTCCTTATTCGTTTCTCCTTCCTATAGCAATCCCAGGACCCACCAGCCCAGAAGGGCCCCACACTCACCACCAAGGTCCGACGGACCATGAGCAGCCGCGTGCACGAAGCTGTGAAGGCCATAGCGCTCTGCCACAACGTGACTCCTGTTTACGAGTCCAACGGTGTGACTGACCAGGCTGAGGCTGAGAAGCAGTACGAAGACTCCTGCCGCGTGTATCAGGCATCCAGCCCCGATGAGGTAAGCCTGGGCAGGTGTGGCGGGCCATGGAGAGGCCCTGCTTGTTTTCTGTCTGCTGGAATTACGGGTTTCCTGAGGAAGCAGTGTGTCAGGGCAGACAGGAGCCAGGGTGGTGCCGTGGTGCAGGGCTGCTGGGAGACATATTTTCAGATACAGGAAAGAACTGGTCTTCTAAAAGAATAGCCTTGGACTTGAGCTATAGCCTGAATTAGGAAAGTTAAAGGTTTGGTTTTGTAACTCAGAAGGCCAGCATAACAGGAGCACAAGGTCCTGTTTAAACCACATACTTTAAAAAAGATGTAAATAATTAAGATCTTAAGATAAATTCCACATTCCATACAATCTACCCATTTAGAGTAAGACTTTTTTTTTTCTTTTTGAAATACAGTCTCACTCTGTCACCCAGGCTGGAGTGCAGTGGTGCTATCTCGGCTCAGTGCAACCTCTGCCTCCAAGGTTCAAACAATTCTCCTGCCTCAGCCTCCCAAGTAACTGGGATTACAGGTGCCCACCACCACACCCGGCTAATTTTGTATATTTTTAGTAGAGATGGGGTTTCACCATGTTGGCCAGGCTGGTCTCCAACCCCTGACCTCAGGTGATCCACCTACCTTGGCTTCCCGAAGTGCTGGATTACAGGTGTGAGCCACTGCACCCTGCCAGTATGGCTTCTTAGTATAGTTAGTGTATTTTGGGATTTTTTTTTTTTTTTTTTTGCAACCATCATAATAATCAAATTTAGAATATTTTTATCACCCCAAAGGAAATTCTGTACCCACTTTGCTGCTATACCCCCTTCCCTTCCTCATTCCTCCAGCCCTAAAGCACCCACTTATCTACTTTCTACCTCTATAGATTTGCATATTACAGACATTCCAAACAATTGGAACCATACAATAGGTGGCCTTTTGTGACTGGCCTCTTTTACTGAGTATAATGTTTTTGAGATTCATCTGTGCACAGCCATGCACAGTACTTCATTCCTTTTAATAACTGAATAATAGTGTTTATTGGATATATTACATTTTGTTTATCCATTCATCAATTAATGGGTATTTGGGTTGTTTTTTATTTTTTGTCTATTGCAGATAATGCTGCTATGAACAATTGTGTACAAGTATTTGAGTGGATGTAAATTTCTAGTTCTCTTGGGTATATACCTAGGAGTGGGTTGGCAGAGTCAAATAGGGACTCTGTAGTTAACCTTTTGAGGAACTGTCTGACTGTTTTCCAGAAGTGGCCGCTCTGTTTTATGTGTCTACCAGCAAACCTCGTGACGGTTTTCATTTCTCCACATCTTGGTCGATACCTGTTACTGTCAGTTCTTTGGCTTCCAGACGTCCTAGTCGGTGTGGAGTGTGTCTCCCTGTGGTTTCTTCGATGTGTGTTTTCCCGATGACGTCTAATGTTGAGCATCTTCGTGTGCTTGTTGGCCGTTTGTGTATCTTGTTTGGAAAAATGTCTGTCCATATCCTTTACCCATTTGTACTTGGTCTGTTTGTCTTTTTGTTGTTGAGGTGTTGTTTTTTTGTTGTTTGTATTTGAGATGGAGGCTTGCTCTGTTGCCCAGGCTGGAGTGCAGTGGCGCGATCTGCCTGCCTTGGTCTCCCGGTAGTGCAGGGATTATAGGTGCAAGCCACAGCGCCTGGCCGCCTTTCAGTACCTTTCAATTTATTTTCTAAAACAGAAATTTTGCTATAGATATAGTTTTGTACCCTCCTTTTTTCACTTACTGTTTTATCATTTGTGTTTTTCCATCATCTTGAATATTGTTAAAAACATTCTTTAAGACTCCTCCTTCCAGCCTGCAGGGTGTTTGTGGAACAGCTCAGGCTATGAAACCCCAGTTCATCCGTGACCATTGACATTTGAACCAGGCTTTTTAGGAGGGAGAAATGTTGCACCCCCGGCCAGCTTCCGAGATGGGAATTGTGTGCAGAGAGAAGGGGTGGGGGTTGGTTTGGATGCTCGGGTGGGGGTCGGTTTGGGTGATCGTCCTGCTCTACTTGTGCCATATCACGGACAATTTCAGGTTTATCATCATTTCTTCTTTCTGTGGCTTGGCAGGTTTAGTCTGTTGGATGATGTTTTTCTCTTTGGGAATGGTCCTATGGAACACCAGTGTCAGAGAGGGCCGTATTTTTGGTAGCTATGGACTGGGAACCAGTAACCTGTAGGTATTTGATGGAATTCAAATTTATTTTACTTTATTATTTTATTTTATTTGAGCCTCTAACTTCAAGTGACCTGCCCACTTCAGCCTCCCAAAGTGCTGGGACTACAGGTATGAACCACCATGCCTGGCCCTTATTGTTTTGAGACAGAGTCTGGCTCTGTTGCCCAGGCTGGAGTGCAGTGGTGTGATCTTGGCTCACTGCAACATCCACTTCCTGGGTTCAAGTGATTCTCCTGCCTCAGCCTCTCAAGTAGCTGGGATTACAGACACGCACCACCACGCCTGGCTAATTTTTGTATTTTTAGTAGAGACGGGGTTTCTCCATGTTGGCCAGTGCAGTCTTAAACTCCTGACATCAAGTGATTTGCCTGCTTTGGCCTCCTGAAGTGCTGGGATTACAGGAATGAAGCACCACACCCGATGGGATTCAAATTTGAGCAAGTTTCAGATGCTGGCCATCGAGAAGCAAGTCCTTCCTGAGGCCCCTAAGACTCACACGGGCCTCTCTGGAGGTTTTCATGCCTGTCTGGACTTTGGTGTATTTGTCTTAGGGCTGTGCAAAGATTTTTCCATGAGGGTCAACCTTTCGTGGATTGCTTTGTGCTGCTTGGCCCCTTTTTCTCAAAGTGAATGGTGCTTTATCTCTTCTGTGCACGAATTGCACTTGGATTCAGATTTGTCTTGTTATTCTAAGTTTCTGAATCATGATTGAGAAAAAAAAACTACTTTCCTTTGGCCTTTTGTGTCTTCAGAGACCAGCGTTACCTTTTTACTGTTTTTTTTTTTACAACTTTATTATTTCGTATTGCATAGTTATTTTGTGTCTGTAGCAGAACACCTGAATGCATTGATTAGAAAGTGAAAAGTAACGCATAATCTTACTAAGTAAAGGCGTAGTCACTGTTGCTGTCTTTCTGATCAGCCTTCTAAACTACTTAAGAGGCTGCCTCGTGCCAAACACAGAGGTTTATATAAATGCCTTATGAGGCTCGAAGGAGGCTAAATCTAGTTCAAGTAAAATCTTTCAGAATGCCGTGCTGTTTCCACGTCCTTGTAGGATTCCACGTAGACTTGGCTGGCTCTAGAATTGTGCCTTTGAAATTCAGTATCAATAAAACATTGCTAGCCTAGGCGAGGTAGTTCATGAAATACATGTAGAAACCAGTATGAGTTTTGCTTGGGAGCTGCTGGAGTAATTTCTACCAGTTGGCGTAGGGTTTGTTTCCTGTAACAGAAAGCAGGATTTCCTAAATTTGTTTCCTGTGCACATTCCACTTTGGGAACCTTGAAGTGTCTTTATTCAGCTATCAATTACAGCCTGGGGTGTGGGCCCTCCCTGCCACTATACAGTAACTCACTGGGGAAATGAAATAGATGCAGTCGGACCAGGAGAAGCCCTGCTCAGATGCTGGAGCTAGCAAGCCTCAGCCCTGATAGCATCCCACCATTTCCAAAATGTTCCATAGCATCGGGGGTGGGGGTGCAGGGAGTGGGGGTAGGGGCCGTGGTGATGGTGTGACTTTCCAAGCCTTGGTTTCTTGGTGTGAGCCAGGAGGTGCTGCCTGTAAGCAGCTAGGATCAGTTCTGTCCACGACTCATTCACTTGTCCTTTCCATGAATTCTTTCATGTTTAAAAAACTTTCCTTTTTGGCCAGGCACTTTTGAGACAGAGTGTTGTTCTGTTGGCCAGGCTGGAGTGCAGTGGTGTGATCTTGGCTTACTGCAACCTCCTCCTCCTGGGTTCAAACCATTCTTGTGCCTCAGCCTCCCGGGTAGTTGGGACTACAGGTACCTGCCACCACGCTTGACTAATTTTTATATTTTTAGTAGAGACAGGGTTTCACCATGTTGGCCAGGCTGGTCTTGAACTCCTAAACTCAAATGATCCACCCAACTCAGCCTCCCAAAATGCTGGGATTACAAGTGTGAGCCGCTGTGCTCGGCCAAAAAACTTTTTAAAGGTTTTAAAATCACAATTACTAATGTCCTCACTACGGAAAAGGGAGAGATTATAGAATCAAAAAAAGATAAAAATAAGCTGTGATTCTTAGCACGTGGTGATAACTACTGTTTATGTTCTGGTACAGATTTTCTCACACTCCTTCTAAATGTATGCATACTGAAATACATATTTGTGTTTTATGTGTATGTATACAAAATATGCACATTTAAATTTATATAATATATATTTACATATCATAATATGTGTTATGTAAATAAATGTCACGTAAACAGATATAGGCTGGGCACGGTGTCTCACGCCTGTAATCCCAGCACTCTGGGAGGCTGAGAAGGGTGGTTCACAAGGTCAGGAGTTCAAGACCAGCTTGGCCAAGATGGTGAAACCCCATCTCTACTAAAAAAAATACAAAAATTAGCCGGATATGGTCACAGGAGACTGTGATCCCAGCTACTTGGGAGGCTGAGGCAGGAGCATCGAACCTGGGCAGCAGAGGTTGCAGTGAGCTGAGATCGTGCCACTGCACTCCAGCCTGGGTAGAGTGAGACTCTCTCTCTCAAAAAAAAAAAAAAGAAACATATATACACACACACACATATATATACATATTAAAGAAATAGATCAATATATTATGTTGATATTTATGAATAAATATATTAAACATGTCTATTTATATATAAATATATATCTAATATTTATATATAAATATTGACATCCCATAGGCTGGGTTTTGCTGGAAATATCTGTTTTTAGATTCTACACAGAGAGTGTTCCTAATATATTTATATATAAGTATTGACATAATATATTTATATATATTAAATATTGACACACACATATATATATAAGTATTGACATAATATA